CCTCAAATGGCATCTTTTCATTTTTAAATCTTTAGTAGAAATTGAGTGCGCTTGCGAATATCAATGTGGATGCAGCTGCAATGTTGCACAACACGACGACATGCAATCTATCCCTATTAACGGCTTTCTTAAGTTCACATTAAGCTTTTAGGTGTGAACAAGACGCACATGTTTTTATTGTCACGCCGGCAAGTACAGCGTCAAGAAGATAACTAGATAGATCAATACAGCCCCATTTTGCGGGAGGTTTGCTTCTTCTGAATGCTGGAGTAATGCCATCTGACAAACTGATGGAGTGGGTGGAGGAGAGAGAGAGAGAGAGAGAGAGGGTGGGAGCTCTGGTTGGGCGGATCTGACCCTGCTTTGCCTTCGGACCGCCTCTCCCGATCCCTCCTTCAAGCCTCTGGGGCTGCTGCGCTCGTGTTTAGTTTCCCTCTCATAGTCAAAGGAAGGATTGATTCCTTTGGGAAGAGACACAAATCACTTCAATTTGATCGAGAGGGCTAAGGATACAGCCTTCTCTTGATTTGGCCACTTTTGAGTTTTTTGTCTCTTCTCTCTGCTGATAAAGAAAAATCGGGGAAAAAAACAAGAGGAGAAAAGTTGTTAGGTCATGATGACAGTTGATATGAGATCTTCTTGATCGCACTAGCTGCTCCCAGGAAACATTATTGGCACAGAAAAGACGTCTTGCTTTTTGTTTCCACTTTGCGTCTTGGTGACACCGGGATCTGTCCTGGTTTCCAAACTCGTTCCCATCCGAGCGCTGAGCTGCCTCTCTCTCTCTTTCTTTCTCGCGCTCTCTCTCTTACGCACGGGAGGTGGGCACCTGAGAACACTACCAACGGGAAGAGAGTGTGAGAGATCCCGGTTTCATGTTTGGGATTCAGGAGAGCATCCAAAGGAGTGGGAGTATTTTGAAAGAGGAGCCCATCGGAGCCGGCATGAACGCAGTCCGAACATGGATGCAAGGCGCCGGGGTGCTGGATGCGAACACGGCCGCGCAGAGGTAAGAGACCCCCGGGGCTGCGACTGCGATCACCTCCCACGGAGCGTGGACTGATCTTGCTGCTGGCGTTTGTTTTGAGGAAACTCGATCCGGATTGTGGAGGATTACGCCTTTGATGCGCTTTGCTTTGTCGTTTAGTGAGCTTTTGATGAGTTCCTTTGGATGCAAAGTTTGGGTACTTTGCCAAAGCTCACCCACCTTCTTTTGCATGCAGTCACATCTGGAGGTCCTAAGACCACTGGATTGAACGTGCTGGAGAAATACTAAGAATAATAATGGCCAAATAAATGCATAATAATACTAATACTAATAAATTAATAAAGATTTCGCATATATACATGTATAGGCATTTTTAATTCTCCAATCAGTGGGATAGAAATTAAACATCCATTTTATTTCTATAACACATCTACGTCTAATATCTGTGAGGATGTTTTTTAACACGGGCCTTTCTGTGTGTCTTCCCCGCAGTGGAGTGGGACTGGCCCGGGCGCACTTCGAGAAACAGCCGCCCTCAAATCTTCGCAAATCCAACTTCTTCCACTTCGTTTTAGCCCTTTATGACCGACAAGGACAGCCGGTGGAAATCGAGAGAACCTCTTTTGTCGGATTTGTTGAAAAAGAGAAGGTGAGTTTATTGAACGAGCTTCACAAATTGATTTTCAGCACCACGATGTCACCGGAGCACAAAATACGATCGCATACGCCTTTGCATTTTCTATTTTAAAAGTGCAGGAGATATTATATGATGCACATTTGAAAACCGTCGAAATAATTAATATGAGAATATATTGAAAAAAAAAAAAATGTGTGATTAGTAAAATCGAAATTATTGCAATATTACCTTGAAATAAACATCTCAGGAATCAAATCGGATAGTTATTTAAACGGGATAGTTATTTAATATGTTCAATGCTAATACAGATTAATTTAAAAATGTAAGATTAAGGCTAAATATGCATTTCTTACATTCATAAATAAAATTCGCAAATAGGTCTGTTAATTTTGCATGCCTTCAAAACTCAATCACCTGTATTTTTCTTCAGCCGCCTTAACAGAAAATGTTCAACCATTTTAGTAGAGCTTAATTTACATATTTAGAAAAATATATCTTATGCATTTTGTAGCCTGCATAATAAAACAATATTAGGCTGTGAGTAGGTAATATCAGTAATGGCCTATAACTTACTATAATGCTACTACTATAACTTACTATAAGTAATGTAACCTAATACAGCTAAGAATAAATTCATTTGACCTCATACATTAAATACAATTCATGAGATAATTCCGTTTTGTTTACACACACGCTATATTTTTAACTAAAATAGTATTTGCGCTCCAGGTGATTTTATTGAACAGGCCCAAACGATATCATTTTGTAAGCGCAGTAACTTTCCTCCCGTTAGTATGTATGATTTTGAGACCTGTTGTAATATTATTTTCATGCCCAGGAGACTACAGGAGAAAAGACAAACAATGGCATACATTACAGACTGCAACTTCTCTACAGCAACGGTAAGGACATGCTCACATTTGCGCACGAGGCTTGAGTTTGCGCACTTTCGTTGATCGTGATTTGCAATTCATCGCCCTAAAATAGCAACAGTAGCAGGTGCTGTCATTAGAGATCTCCATTTGACGAAGATTGGCAGTGATTTAAATCAACGATTTAACCGATCGAGGCTGGTTCTGTCTGAACAATTAAACGCAATCAGTGATTGACTCCTCAACACCAACTAATTCTCATTGACTTTCTTCAAATCCAAGCATGCCTCTTCCCAATGAATCAGTATCATTTTAAAGCATTAATAATTCACCCAAGGTTTAAATCAATTAGAAACCTATTTCCAGCCACGCGATATTAATTGTTAATGTGCTTTTATTGGAGTGAGTGTGAATTGATCATGTTCATTAGTGTGTAATCTGACAGCCTGTCTATCATTTGTCATCTGGTCAGTTTCTAAATAAACCAGCTGTTAGTTCTGCCACCTCTCAAGCGTATTGTGCACAGTGCTTTTTAAATCTATGCTTCATCACATCATCATTTCTGTCCGTTTTGATTTTATTCATAAGTATTTAAATTCAAAGTGGTTGAAAAGCAATGAACTCATGGCAAGTCCTAACTTTGGCACCATTTAGATTTAGATTTTATTTAAGGCAGTAATTACACTCATGTTTAAATTCAATCATGCATTATGTGTTTTCATAAAGAATTATTTAGCATTAGTTTAATTTGCTATTTAATTTAATTAGAAAGTAGTAAATAAACTGTCAGGTGTGGGCAGGTGTGTTCAGTGTTAAAGTTATAATTAGGCTAATCATGCATCACAAAATATCTTCTTATATAAAAAATAACAGTTATTTAAAATCTCTTCCGCTAATTATAGTATACGAAATTATACTATGTTTAATAAATATAGCATTCAAAGAATATTGTTTTTATGTACTGTTCATTTAATATGTGCACATATTACAATACAATTAAGCTACCAAAATGTGCTTGTGCTATTTCAAGAGCATTATGCTTGGTGCAATGACAGTGCATTGTAATAGCCGATTTAGAGATAATGAATGTGAATGTGTTTGTGGGAAATGTCATGAAAAGCACATGCTGATGTCAAGTTTCTGTGTGTTCCAGGCATCAGAACAGAGCAGGATTTTTATGTAAGACTAATTGACTCCATGACTAAACAGGTAAGGGTTCATCTTGTCCTGCACACTACCATCTGCGCATGTCACCAGAGGCTAATTCATACATGTTGGGGCATCAGGACATGCTAAAGGTTGAACTGTTTGTGCCCCATACAGATGAATCTCACAGTGCATGCGTATCTCCCAGGGACAGTGTCACATTTTTACATGCACGGTGGCAACGGCATCACAGGATGTCCTGTGGCCTCTTTTGGACTTTTTGTGCTTGACCGTCTGAAAGTTTGTTTGCTGTTTAACTGTGCGGCATAGTGTGTAGCCTATTTTCTTTTCAGATTTTTCTTATCAGTTTTTTTGCAAACCCAGTACACTCGCACAGCCCTTGCAAGCCTTTTCGTGAACATGTTTGTGTTGCCCGCTGGTGTGGTTCACATGTCATGCTCGGCTGCCTTCTTCTGAACTCTGGCTTGTTTCATTTCTTGTATGTACAATATGGCAGATCTACATTATTAGTGTTGCCTGTTTCCTGTTTCCTGTTTGATTTTATCAGTCACCGAAGACATGTGTGGCCCTGGGCTAGTGTCTGGATGGTTTATACCTAGTGTTGTTGTTTTTTTTTTTTGTTTGTAGAGAACCAAAATGCTGACCTTGGATCAGCCCTAATTAGCGTGTCATGGGAATTAGCGATTAGCATTTGTGAAAGTGGTCTATTAAACATATCCGTGTTTATTAGCTGCCTCCTGCAAACTGAGAAAGGCTCCATGCTAGGCTCTTTACACTTCGCTAACGGTCGCTAACTTACCTGTGGGCGGCAGCTCCCTCTCCCTCCTGCCTAAGTTGCGTGGCGGGGAACATCAAAGCGCATTAAACCCCAGTAGCTGCCACTTTGACAGCGCTAGTCTGGCAGTAGGTAGAAGAGCTGTTGTTTCCTAACTATCTGCTTTGCTGCACTTCGTGGGAGGACATGGCACTTTTGAGTGAAGTGTCGCTAGAGCGCTGTTTATCAGTGTCAAGTTAAAAAATAATCACCCAGACGCCTCGGCTTCCCCCTCACAAATCTTTTGTAGTTGTTTGCCGGCAGTTTTCATGTCAGTCTTCTTGGAATATATTTAGCACTTGTATTCATTATTTTTGCGCAGGTATTACAACACGTGTAATAGAAATCCCAAGGAATGAGATTGCGATCCCCTTTGCTGCTGTATTGTATGCGAGAAACTTTCAGATGTGAAGACAACCTATGGTTAAATCACTCGCTAAAGGGATCCGCTTAGAACTACACTTAAAGATGAACATGTGTACGCGACAGTCGGAGGATATCAAATTCCCTTCTCCAACAACAAGACAGCTAGTTACCTTGTAACAGCTCAGAAAGCTCAGTTGCGAGTGATATATTAACCACGCCAACAGCTTGTGGAGTGGATGTGTCTTTGATTTCCTCAGGTGAATGAGATCGAGAGAGAGTTCGGGATCAGATGTGGTTTCACTCTGGGGCAGTCAGACCTGTTGAGAGGGTGAAATGAGACCTGGATACTGGCTGACCACAGGACAGCTACAGGTGTCTCGGCCCATGTTGCGGCTCGGACTAAAAACAAACTTTCAGTTTGAAGAGTAGGCACTCTTGAGAAGGGAGTGCGGATGCTACTCCGCTGGCAGTCGTTATCAGATTACAGACGACCTGAGTAATCTTTAGTGATGTTCTATATCGCCGTCGGCCTTCTGTAATCACTCAGTGAGATGCTAGTTATTGGGCTGTGGAGTGAGTTAATGTGAGGCATTCATGAAATTCTGAAGGCAAAAAAGTTCATCGTCAATAGTGTAACGATGTAAGATGCACAGCTCACACATAAAGTCACTTTCAAACCAAGCAGCGTTCTGTAGGTTAACTCCGTGACCAACCTGTCGTGGGGAAAGCTTTGCGCGAAATTCCCAATCGCATGGATTCCTGTTGAAATGACCGGCCGATTCACTGAACACCACAACTTTAGAGCATAGCGCTGATTCGAATTTGTTAGCAAAACTATTACTTTCTAAGTGGCTGTGGGAACAAATGTGAATCACGGAGGCTGCTAAAGTGTTTCGCAATGCTATCAAGGCTAAAACACTTACACTCTGTTTATGTTACGGTGGCAAAAACAGCTAAAACAGCTTTAGCTTGGACTGTAATTAGTGTCCAGATTTGCTGTTGTTACTGCTCTCAGAGCGAGTGCAGAGCTTATTATTCTCTGGCGAGACTGATTTACTCTTGCAACTGCGCAACAGTTGCATGAAGGCGCTTGTTATTTTGGTAGTTACTGTCACAGGCAAATGATTAGATTCAGCAGATACCGTAAACATCTCAGTGTTTTACATTTCAAGCTATAGTGCTAATTTACTGCATCTGTTGTTTTAACAGTGGCCTAGTGGTTACCTCCGAATCTGACATGCTGAGCTGTAGCGCATTTCTCTTTTGCTTTGCATTGTTTTGTTTTTTATGCCACTATTAGCGCTTAACTTGGATTTAACCGGGAATACTTGAGTTTAGGCAGCTGAGGGAAGAATAGTCAAGTCAAGTCAAGTCAAGTCTGCTTTATTGTCAATTCTTCCACATGTACAGCACATACACACAGAGAATTGAAATTGCGTTACTCTCAGACCCTTGGTGCATACAGATAACACTAACAGTAGAACATAAATACAGATATACAGATTAAGTATAAAATACAACTATACAAATATACAAATAAGGTAAAATGTAAAAAAATATATAAAAAAATATATATAAAGCAGCACACGGCACATGGCAGATAGAGTGCAAACCAGTGAAGTAAACAACAGTGCAGATATAATGATTTGTAGTGCAAAAAGAGCTTATTTAGACTGATTAAAGTGACTGTGTGTGTGTATTTGGGAGGGGGGAGTGGGAGAGTCCGTCAGAGTTCAGTGGTGCGTGAGAATACTCCACATACTAAGATTCTAGCATTAAGTGAAAACCTCACCCCGCAGCTTTCATTGGTCAACTCAATCACCCAGCCACCAGTCAAGAAAAGATCAGACTTCGTTGATTCAGAGTTCAGAAACATCACAAATGTTTTAGATCGCGACAAACAGTAATGCTATCCATCAGAATGTGCTATAATGCTATAACAACATTAGGGTGTGGGTCAGGGCTAGGTGTTAGGATTTGTTTCAGTGTTGTGTAGTAAATACTGTGATTGATGTGAATCTTCAGAATTGGCCATGGGGTGGGATTTGCACTTAACTGGTTTGGCGAAATAATCACACCGTTATCCTGGAATTGTAACTCATAGTGGGGTACAGAAGAGGGAGTCGGGGACGTGGGGGGCCCTTAAGTTTGAGTTTGACAGTTAAATCTGTGATCAGCAGCTTCAGTGCCAACACCTCTGACAAACATAGTGCAGAGACAGCAGACCTCCCACGTTCCTCCCTCATCTATCCTACTTTTCCTTTTTCTTCTCTCATTACCTCCTGGATTGGTTGTTTTTTAAGATGCAGTACTAGATGTTCGTTGTTTTGCTTGAGCTAACTTGAGCTTGAGCTAAACTTAGCCAGTGAATCAGACCACGCCCTCTCTCCAAACCCCGCTCTACAAAGGCATGTCAGCAAGCAGTTTTACACGCAAAATGCATTGTGATTAGCTCGGCAATACACATTTCTTTTCACTTAGCTTTGTTTTTTTAATCCCTCTTTTAACCCATCCACTCCACAACACACTCAGCCTTGTTTTGTTCCCTGGTCTCCTGCTCAAATTCTTGCACCATCTAGAAGTCTCTCAGATGTCTGTTAGCTGTCTCTAGAAACCCTGCGTCTATTCTCCTGTCTGTCTGCCTGCCCAACTCTTGCTCTCTTTTCCTCTTCTCTTGTTTCTCAGGCTTTATGTCTGAACAGCTGATCAGGGGTGGGGTGGGATACTTATTCGTGTATGTGAACGCTTCTGTGTGTGTGGGAGAACAAAGAGTGAAATCACTGCCAAGACAGCACCTCTTTAAAGGTAGCGCAGTGGCCTGGGAAAAAAGGCAGCCGTGTTCTTAATGGCATGCTAACAGATGATGCCAACTGTGTAGGAAGTAGGTTTCCATGTATTTATAGCATCTTGTTTACTTGCCTTCGATTTCAGGCATCACATCAAAGCCACTGAGGAAAACGCTAGATGAAATATGAAAAGTGTGCTTGGCGAGATGAAATATGTATTACAAGGCATATGAACATTGCATGCTTATTAATGTGCCCTTCTCGCACTTCGGCACACAATTAAAACTGCCCTAAACATCACACTTTAACATTTTTTATGATTTTATTGTGCTGTAATTTTTTATGCGACACCTTTGCACATTCGATGTTTCTTCTAAGTCAAAAAGAAACTACTTCCTGTTCTTTGATCGCAGTAAAAGCAGCCAAGGCATTTAAAAGTTATCAAGATGGCACACTTTAAGAGCCTAAAATTAACCTAAAATTTCCCTTTTAGGAATGCTTAATACAAACAAAATATACAAAGACTAATTCATCTTTATGAGTCACTTCCATTTGTATGACTGGAGGAATTTGTGACACTTCAAGCATTGTTTTTTCCTACACTGGACAATTTTGAGTCTTCTTTAAGACCTTGTATTACACTTTATCTATTTTCATCTGTAAATTTCAATTACAATACATATCTTTAAAGGCTTTTTCTTTCTGAGCCAGAAATCTCAACTCCAGTAGCACTTACATACACCTTTACCGTTTTATTCTTATCTATATTCTGAAGGTTTTGCAGAGGGTTTCGTTTATATATCACTTGCTTGATTTATAGAACATTTTATTACTAAAAATATGGTGATTTTTTTTCTGGCTGTTAACAGTATTCTTTGATTTATAAAATGATAAAAAAAAGGTATCCAAAGTCCCCTCTGTAAAAGCCTTTAAGTGAAATATGACAAACAAACTAAATAAATAAGAAAAAAAATAAAATAACTACAATTAAAGTTCTGAATTTGGTAATAGCCAATGTTTAGATCTCTTTTTGCAAATGTATGCAAAATTAGTGTATATTTAATTAAATATTGCCT